AGAACACCATGAAATTCCAAAAGGTTCACATACTTTTTCTTGCAACTGTGTGTGTGTGTGTGTGTGTATAATTTGTTGTAAAGATTTAAGAGTGGCTACAGAGACAGCCTTCCTGGGAAAAGCATTCTGTGATAGTCAATCAAAAGGATTCATCTGCTTAGTATAAGGTGAGGTTTTCAGATACCCAGGTCCCAGGATGCATATATTTGTGCCTACACACACACACCTTTTGAATCTACTTATAATATAGATCTAAAATCAGGTTACTCAATAAGAGAACCCTCTGATGGACAAAACACAAGATAATGTTCCTCCCTGGCGTTTAACTCTATGTAACAGTTCACACTATCCCTTTATGCTTCTTAATAATGTTGACTATCAGAGATATGAATTAGCAATTTGTACAATTGGACTTTGAACAAAGTAATAAATAAAAAGCAAACAAAGTATGTCCCTTACCTGTTCTCTGATTAGCATTGTATCACAATATTCACAGAAGACATTTGCCAAAAGGCATATTTTGTCATGAACCTTTATTACAATGAAAGCAAAAAGTAAAAGAGAATCACTTTTCATGAAAAGGGAATGATAGATAATTAGTACTAATAGATGTTCTACAATCTAGGACATAGCTTCTCTCTTTCTCACATTTCAGAAATGTGTTTGGTTGCATAAGATTAGATTCTAGTCTGCCTTTCTGCCAGAATAAGAATTTTGATTTAATAGATGGTACACACTCAGACCAAGCCAGAGGGATTCTGAGCATTTTATAAAGCCATGCTTCAAGAACAGAGCTATTATCCCTTTTCCCAACTCTGGTATGTAGGCATGTACACTCAATTCTTTTTATCCCTGGGGGTTACATTCTTAAAAATCCCCCATGGAAATGGAAACCGTGGTTATTGAAGCACTGATCCTAGTGAGAACACGTGAACTAGTATCAGAATGGCATGGAGATTTGTTAACAAAAACTGTGAGAACAAGAACACGGTTTCCTTTAGTATAGCTCGTGTCAATGTTGCACGCTAAGGCTTTCAGACTTTTCCCTACTGCCATGGCCATGTATAGCCGTGATGAGTCCACGTTTGACGAAAAATATCACTTTTATAGAAATGTATAAGTGAATCCACAGAAACAGAATGTGCAAATAACGAGGACTGACTGTAGTTTATGTGCAATTATACATGTAGTTGTTTTAAACATGCAAAACAAAATATTTTGTTCAAATCGCATAGGTTCTATACAGGGATATACAAAATTCATTGTACCAGGAACGGAATGTTCTGGAGAATAACAGAAAACTCTGTTTCTCTCTGACCTTCTTCATGTTGTTCCAGGAGCAGTTCAATAGTTTTCAGAAGTAAATCCCTAGCAGTTCCAGTCCTGGTAAAAGTTTGGCAGGATTCAGAGGAAAATTGTGCATTCTACTGTTCTCCAGAACATTTCATTCTTGGATCAGTGAACTTTATACTTCCCTAGATGTATAAAACTTTCTGTTCTGACAATTATAAATACTGGTCTACATCCAATATTATACAGACAGAGTTTTAATTGTTCTCCTCTAGACCAATATAATGAACAGGTAGGACCGGAGAAGAAAGGAGGAATCATTTCCACAGAAAGATGCTATTACCTCAGTAGACACTGAGGAATAAAATATTCTATTTGATGGAATATACAATTTCATATGAGCTAACAGAAACCAACTTGGAAATAATCAATGCATTATTAAAATAAGCTTATTAAGTATTTATGAAACAGTTCTATTTTGGACTGTACCTGCTTTTCTTCATAAGGCATACACATAGCACAATTTGGGCAGGCAACTTGCCGCCGTGGACACTCTAGCTTAATGTGTTCTTGCAGCTGGTTCTTCTGGAAAATCCCTTGGCACTGAGAACATTTCTCTGATGCGAATCCACAATGTACCTGATGGTCCTGGGGAAAAGCCATTAGAAGAATAGGCACCAGAAACAAAACAAAACAAAACAAAACAAAAATCTGTATTGATTTTTTTACACAATTCCTGAATATACAGGATTTGACTATAATTACTTGTAATATTAGCCGACCCAAACATTATAGATAACTATAGCTTTAACTACTATAGAAGTAAAAATCTACAGGGGATTTCATATAGTTTTCTCAATGGTGTTATAGAAATATTGTCATATTTAGTGACCCACTGATCTATTTTTTTTTGTTTAAAAGCAATCTATGTTACAAAATCAATAGTATACTTAAAATATAATAAATAAGACTAGCTGCTGCAGTGGAAGAAGAAATTTGTGGGATAATAGCTGAAATCCACCTGTGAAGTACTCATTAGGGCACGGCCTTCAAAAGTCTCTTAATGTTGTTACAGTGGTCCTTGGTTAACTACCACTTGTTCAATGATCATTCGAACTTGTGACAGCACTGAACAAGTGGTACTTACGACCAGTCTTTGGAGTTCTGGCTGTTATAGCATCCCGTGGTAACCATTTATGACCTTCTTTGCTGACTTCTGAGAAGCAAAGTCAATGGGAAAGGCAGCAGGAAGTTGCAAATGGTGACCATGTGATGTCCTCGCTTAATGACCCATGGTGATTCACTTAATGACAGCAAGTGGGAGTGCCAGAATTGCCACTGTTAAGCAGCACAGTTACATGACATCACGCTTTATGACCGGGTCACTTACCAATGGCAATTCCAGCCCAACTGCTATCGTAACTGAGGATTACCCATAGTTTATTCTGGTGTAACAGATTTAACCCCAGATTTAAGGAAAGGGCCATAATCAACTAATCTCCTTTTATTCATTTCTTTCAAGAGTAGTTGTTGTTTTGCATATCACAAGTATCTCTTTGTACAAGTCCTAAAGGGATAATACATATATTGCTGATACTGCTCAAAATAGTATAGAACTGAACTGTAATTCTGGGGGGGGGGGTAGGGGGAGGGAACGGGACCCTTAAAAGCCTACCTCTAAATGTCTTAGTTCCATCTTCTGACTGCAGCCTTTATTGGGACATTTCACTGTCAGTGAGAGGATTTCGCGTTTTGCAAAGTTATCAGGAAAGAGTTGATTTTCTAGTAAGATTTCATTGTCTATTGGACATTTATGACCTGCATCTCTGTTGAAAAAAAAAATGATAAATTTTTTAAGACTATGTACTATACATTTGGCTGTAGTAAGTTTCTTCACACTAAGGCAAACAATCTGCTTCGGATCCAAAAGCGTCTTGTGTGAGCTGGAAATCATTTTTATTCCTGCTTGATTGTCCCTCCTCACAACCAGTCTGCAAATGTCTCCATCTGACTACAGCACCTTTTACATTTTACAGCAGATTAAATACTTTAGGAGTGAGGGGAGTAGAGGATGGAGTTGGCAATGAAATCAGGAAAAAGCCAACATTCCAGATTTCCCCCCCTTTTTGCTTGCATTTATCTGTGTCCCAAATTCATTCATTCATTCATTCATTCATTCATTCATTCATTCATTCATTCATTCTTTCTTTCTTTCTTTCTTTCTTTCTTTCTTTCTTTCTTTCTTTCTTTCTTTCTTTCTTTCTTTCTTTC